ACTTTGTAAGGTTTGCATAATTTGGCCTACTTTTTCCCATAAAATTACTTTGGTGATATATTTTCTAATTTTCTTGATCTGCATGTTACCAATGTAGCTGATGACCTTTATAGGGGATAAAGAGCTTCTGGATTCTTTCAGATTAAAAGCATTGTAAATAGGTAAGGGTTTAAATTAATTGTAGTGGCCAGGATCACCAGCTCTCTCCTCCTCCCTGTAAATGATTGTACATCTATCTGACCAGACATTGTGATCACAAACTAGAAGTGTCCACACTCATGTCCTACTGATCACAGAGAAACTCTGACAGTTCAGGACTGACGAAGGGTGACACTGGTGGAGTTTGGAGTTGGTTAGTACCTGGATCACTGTGTTATAAACAGGCAGCAAGTTTAATTACGTAAGAAATTGAATGTGAATTGGAGTTTTGAAACTGATGTCTCTTTTCCCAGGACCTGACAGGCCATCCAGTTCAGTTCCCTAATCTGTGCACGATGTTCACGAAGGATCTTGAGAATCTGCGGGCGACGCTGATGGATGACAGGGTGATAGACTGGACACAAGACACCATTGTGAGAGGTTCTGTAGCTCATTAAGTGATCATAATGATCCACAATGTATAGTAATGAACTGAAACCAACCACTCGCACACATTCACACAAGACTCATGAACAGACTGCAACTGTACTGCCCAGTCCTTCTTCAGAAACAGAACATTGATCAGACTCTAAAACCTTTTACATATACTGTACATGATTACATTTCCATTTTTTGAGGAGTTTTGCTGATGTTTTAAACACTAACGCACATGATCAGCTGGTTAGACTTTAATTGTTTTAAAGTTTTGACCTTGAACTTTAAAAAACATTGAAAAACTTAAAAAACAATGACTTCTATAATCTACAGTGGCTTTTACTTTGAATACAAAAGGTGACATTGTTTCAGGTTTTCCTGTTCTGTTATATGTACTAAAACGTTTTTCTCAGTAATAGGATTCCACTTCAAGGAACGTGCACATTCTTTTGGCCTAGGAACTATTAAATACTTCGATTTCATTTCATTTACAAAGCCAAAAAAACAGCATCTAGATTTATTTTGTGTTGTCCATTTTTTTCACTTTTATATTTTTTAACCATGAGCATTACCTTCTAGGCTTCATGTCTCTGAGGTTTGATTCCCTCTCCTCATTAATCCATCCTGTCTGGAGTGGTACAGTGTTAAACAGTAAATAGCTGGTTTAAAGTTCTTGTGAAAAGGATTTGCATAATTGGTTTTTGTGTTTCTTTTACTTAGCTGTCAGAATTTGGAGGGTTAGTCAGATTAAGCACAAATGTACTGTATATGTATTTAAACATGTATATGGCAATAAAACATAAATATAGAAATTGATAT